ACAGACTAGTCAACAGACTAGAGTGAGTAGTCAACAAACTATTCAACAGATTAGTCATCAGACTAGTCGTCAAACTAGCCAATAGACTAATCAACGGACTAGTCAACAGACTAGTCGATAGATAGGTCAACAGACCAGTTAACAAAATATCTAATAGACTAGCCAACGGACTAGACTAGTCAATAGATCAATAGAGCTAATTCTGATCGGTTTCAAGAAGATTTATACTTATGTTATAATAACCCAGAAGTTCGGTCAGACAGTCCCGAACTCTCTATTTAACCTACCACATAGGGTTACACCTAGTCACCAATTGTCCGGGTGACTAGATATTTTAACATGTGCTTGTCCTACGAGGAAGTCAATCGTCACCCCATATGTTACGAAGAGGCACACAAGTGCTTCTTAAGTGTCCCCTTCTCGCTTACAAAGGGGACACTAATGTGACGATCATCTACACCCTCGTTTACAAAGAGTACATCCGTGACGAATTAGAGCCAACCAGATAGTTAGACGTTAGTGGAAATCACTGTTTTTTTCGGATGCATTGACTCTTTGTCGAACTGCAGGGAAATAGTAATGAAATAAAAACAAACTTTACAACTAGCCCTCGTATACACGTAGAAATTTCTACTAGTATATAGTAGACATACTTACATTCACATTTTTTTTATACAAACTTCTCATTATAATGAATGAATACATGAGTGGAAGAAGAATGATGCATTTTGCATCAATGAATAATTTTAAATATTTCTCTCGTATTTCCGAAATAAAAATTGTAGTAAAAAGTTGTAAAATAAAATAAAAACAATAGCAACAACAACAAGAACCACAATTGGAACAATATTTGTTTCAATCTAGACATTGACAAGAGCAGGAAGGCCAAAAGGTAAACACATACAAACAGATGTGTTTAATATAAAAAGAAGGCTAGACTTAAGTAAATATTAGCAGGGATTTTTAAAAAGAATGTAAAAGAACTATTAAGTCAAGTGTAAGTTATTTGCATGTATGAAATCGGTTTTGTAAGGATTTAATTGAGAAATAATTATTCTTGAAAGGATACGATCGTCTAGAAATGGATGGTCTGTTCACCAAGTTAATGGCTTAAACTATTCCCAAATCATAACAACTTTTGCTTTGGTTAGTTAGTTTAGTTAGTTAGTTAGTTAGTTAGTTAGTTAGTTAGTTAGTTAGTTAGTTAGTTAGTTAGTTAGTAGTTAGTAGTTAGTTAGTTAGTAGTTAGTTAGTTAGTTAGTTAGTTAGTTAGTAGTTAGTTAGTTAGTTAGTTAGTTAGTTAGTTAGTTAGTAGTTAGTTAGTTAGTAGTTAGTTAGTTAGTAGTAGTAGTTAGTTAGTTAGTTAGTTAGTTAGTTAGTTAGTTAGTTAGTTAGTTAGTTAGTTAGTTAGTTAGTTAGTTAGTTAGTTAGTTAGTTAGTTAGTTAGTTAGTTAGTTAGTTAGTTAGTTAGTAGTTAGTTAGTTAGTTAGTTAGTTAGTTAGTTAGTTAGTTAGTTAGTTAGTTAGTTAGTTAGTTAGTTAGTTAGTTAGTTAGTTAGTAGTTAGTTAGTTAGTTAGTTAGTTAGTTAGTAGTTAGTTAGTTAGTTAGTTAGTTAGTTAGTTAGTAGTTAGTTAGTTAGTTAGTTAGTTAGTTAGTTAGTTAGTTAGTTAGTTAGTTAGTAGTTAGTTAGTTAGTTAGTTAGTTAGTTAGTTAGTTAGTTAGTTAGTTAGTTAGTTAGTTAGTTAGTTAGTTAGTTAGTTAGTTAGTTAGTTAGTTAGTTAGTTAGTTAGTTAGTTAGTTAGTTAGTAGTTAGTTAGTTAGTTAGTTAGTTAGTTAGTTAGTTAGTTAGTTAGTTAGTAGTTAGTTAGTTAGTTAGTTAGTTAGTTAGTTAGTTAGTTAGTTAGTTAGTTAGTTAGTTAGTTAGTTAGTTAGTTAGTTAGTTAGTAGTTAGTTAGTAGTTAGTTAGTTAGTTAGTTAGTTAGTTAGTTAGTTAGTTAGTTAGTTAGTTAGTTAGTTAGTTAGTTAGTTAGTTAGTTAGTAGTTAGTTAGTTAGTTAGTAGTAGTTAGTTAGTTAGTTAGTTAGTTAGTTAGTTAGTTAGTAGTTAGTAGTTAGTTAGTTAGTAGTTAGTTAGTTAGTTAGTTAGTTAGTTAGTTAGTTAGTTAGTTAGTTAGTTAGTTAGTAGTTAGTTAGTTAGTTAGTTAGTTAGTTAGTTAGTTAGTTAGTTAGTTAGTTAGTTAGTAGTTAGTTAGTTAGTTAGTTAGTTAGTTAGTTAGTTAGTTAGTTAGTTAGTTAGTTAGTTAGTTAGTTAGTTAGTAGTTAGTTAGTTAGTTAGTTAGTTAGTTAGTTAGTTAGTTAGTTAGTTAGTTAGTTAGTTAGTTAGTTAGTTAGTTAGTTAGTTAGTTAGTTAGTTAGTTAGTTAGTTAGTTAGTTAGTTAGTTAGTTAGTTAGTTAGTTAGTTAGTTAGTTAGTTAGTTAGTTAGTTAGTTAGTTAGTTAGTTAGTTAGTTAGTTAGTTAGTTAGTTAGTTAGTTAGTTAGTTAGTTAGTTAGTTAGTTAGTTAGTTAGTTAGTTAGTTAGTTAGTTAGTAGTTAGTAGTTAGTTAGTTAGTTAGTTAGTTAGTTAGTAGTTAGTTAGTTAGTTAGTTAGTTAGTTAGTTAGTTAGTTAGTTAGTTAGTTAGTTAGTTAGTTAGTTAGTTAGTTAGTTAGTTAGTTAGTTAGTTAGTTAGTTAGTTAGTTAGTTAGTTAGTTAGTTAGTTAGTTAGTTAGTTAGTTAGTTAGTTAGTTAGTTAGTTAGTTAGTTAGTTAGTTAGTTAGTTAGTTAGTTAGTTAGTTAGTTAGTTAGTTAGTTAGTTAGTAGTTAGTTAGTTAGTTAGTTAGTTAGTTAGTTAGTTAGTTAGTTAGTTAGTTAGTTAGTAGTTAGTTAGTTAGTTAGTTAGTTAGTTAGTTAGTTAGTTAGTTAGTTAGTTAGTTAGTTAGTTAGTTAGTTAGTTAGTTAGTTAGTTAGTTAGTAGTTAGTTAGTTAGTAGTTAGTTAGTTAGTTAGTTAGTTAGTTAGTTAGTTAGTTAGTTAGTTAGTAGTTAGTTAGTTAGTTAGTTAGTTAGTTAGTTAGTTAGTTAGTTAGTTAGTTAGTTAGTTAGTAGTTAGTTAGTTAGTTAGTTAGTTAGTTAGTAGTTAGTTAGTTAGTTAGTTAGTTAGTTAGTTAGTTAGTTAGTTAGTTAGTAGTTAGTTAGTTAGTAGTTAGTTAGTTAGTTAGTTAGTTAGTTAGTTAGTTAGTTAGTTAGTTAGTTAGTTAGTTAGTTAGTTAGTTAGTAGTTAGTTAGTTAGTTAGTTAGTTAGTTAGTTAGTAGTAGTTAGTTAGTTAGTTAGTTAGTTAGTTAGTTAGTTAGTTAGTTAGTTAGTTAGTTAGTTAGTTAGTTAGTTAGTTAGTTAGTTAGTTAGTTAGTTAGTTAGTTAGTTAGTTAGTTAGTTAGTTAGTTAGTTAGTAGTTAGTTAGTTAGTTAGTTAGTTAGTTAGTTAGTTAGTTAGTTAGTTAGTTAGTTAGTTAGTTAGTTAGTTAGTTAGTTAGTTAGTTAGTTAGTTAGTTAGTTAGTTAGTTAGTTAGTTAGTTAGTAGTTAGTTAGTTAGTAGTTAGTTAGTTAGTTAGTTAGTTAGTTAGTTAGTTAGTTAGTTAGTTAGTTAGTTAGTTAGTTAGTAGTTAGTTTAAATGTTCGCGTCTTTGCCAGTATCTTCTGGCAAAGACGCGGGGTCACACGATTTCGATTTCGTAAATCATAATGGACGCGAGCCAACAACAAAAACCAAACTCTAAAGTGATATTTGACCTATCGACTAAGTAAACTTAAAAGAGTTGTAATCTACAGTTTCTGCAACAGCATTTTGTACGCCAACCAAAATTGTTAACTTACTGATTTTGTACACTATCTAACTATCGGTCGCTCCAACCATCTGTCCGTCTATAAGCACCAAGTCATAGACATCTAGATTCACATGCATAAAGTTTGCACTTTTTTGTTGTACATGCAACAACCTTTACAAGCTGCAATTAATTGAAACAAAAAAACGAAAAAAAACAATTTTTTTACATATGTACCAGACATTCTACAGACAAGAATAGAGTACAACAGCAACAACAACAAAAAAAGCAGACCAGACACTTTTCCAGACACAAAACAAATGTGGAAGGACAAACTAAAAACTGTTAAGTTTACTACATGTCATTATCGTCATGTACCTCAGCATCATTATCATCGACAATATGCTGGCAAATAGCAGACGGTAGCAGCAACAGCTATTAACTGTCTGGTGTCTGTGGCCTAGACGAGCCCTCTGATCATGCGCATAACCATTACATATTTACATGACTTTTCGTCTGGTTGTTTGTTTGGCTGTTTGTTACTTTATTATTCACATTTTGTCTGCTGTTTGTTGTTGTGTCTGTTGCAGTAGTGGCGGTTGTTGATTAGTGGTTTAATCTTGTTTTGTTGCTGTTGTTGTTGGCTACTAGTGCAACTACTACACATGGTTACAAGCAATCTGACATTTAATCATGTTTCCTGTCTGCTGCCTAAATGGCAGTTTATCTTAATATGCACAAATGTAATTTTTGTGGCTGTTGGAGTAGTCTAGAGAATAAATAATTTGGTTATTTTTAAGGTTGAGATTTTTTGTTTTTCGAAAATTCGAAGTTAGGTTAGTTTGAAAGGAATATGTAAAATCTTTAAATTTTCTTTGATTGCAAAAAAAAAAGTTTCATAAATTATTGAATGAATTTTCATTGAACTTTTGTTCAAACCTTAAACGTATTGACAAAACAAAAATTTGTGCTTAAATAATCAAAACACCCCTTGAAGTATGTACTTATGTCTGGGCATTGTATTTTTGGACAAAATAAATAACATAATGTCAATGACTCAAAACAACAGAACAACAAGTTGAATTACCTACCTAAAAACAGTTGAACCAAAAATATAACAGACACTTTTTTTGCATTATAATTTCAGCATAAACGACATTAGAAATCGCATTAGTAATGCCATACAAAATGTCAATTCCGAGGAGAATCAAGAACAACATCCTCTACATGAAATGGCTGCCTATCCGATTTGTAATTCAGAAGCTACCGATTCGTCTTGGCTGCAAGACAACAATATCACCATACAATTCTCACAAACTCTATTCGAGCAGAGAAAAGATTTGAATTTGGATTCGGCCATATTGAGATTGTATAAACTAAATCCTAATAATACCAATGATCATAAGAATAACAATAACAGTCAAAATAAAGAGACCCCAAAAATACCGATGACGAAACGGAAGGTGAAGAGACAACCAAGCTAAAGAGATGTGCTGAACCAACTATGGATGCTCAAATACGTGTTACCGTTTCAATTGTCCAGCAAATGCGTCGTAACAAACGTGGTGTGTATGGTAAATATTGCTTAGGGCCTCGTGAACGATGTTTTTAATTTTGCTTAATTGCTTTTTTTCATTCTCTCTCTTTAACTCTCTCACTCTCTCCCTCATACTCTGCTGCTTGCTTGCTGCTTTTTTTCTATTTCGTTTTATAGAACGCAAGAAGCGCATTTGCAACACTGTCATGATGAATGTTTCACAAACTGGTTGGGTGGAAATTGACATCAAACGTGCCATTTACATTTGGGAAGAGACCGCCAAGCAATTGCAACAAACTCAACAGAATCGTTCTCCCGTTCTTGTGGGCTGGCTTATGATTGAAGTTCACGATGAGGAAGAGCAGCCCTTGAAGCCGGGCTTGTTCTTTAAGCCACCAAATTGCAACCAGGCAGGTATGTGTGTTGTTTGCCATGCGTAACTAACATTTGTTTTACGGAAGAGAGGGTCTTTATTAATTAATCTTTATTGATTTACAAACAGGAATATATTATTGAGATATAGGATTAATAAATGTTTCTTCAATAATTTGGATTTAAATCCCAAAAATTTCGCGTGATAATAATAATATTTTCGAGTTGTTAGTGTTCCTTAAAATCACGATACCAAAAAAAGATAATTCTTTCCATTTGTAATACATCAAATATAATTCCTAGATCCACAAAATTATATCTATTATTGGTCCTTATTAAATCCTATAAAGATCCAGCCACATCCGTCGGTCTGTCTACTAAAAGCCCGTTGGCTAAAAGAAGAGAAGCTTCTCTATTAATAAGATTTGTTTGGTCTTGAAAATGGGCAATATCGGACCACGAATTTGCATAGATGGTTGAAGATGATTCTATCAGAACTTTTATCTTAAAGTTTAACGAATATCGTATCATATTTGACTCCATGCTTTCGGTAGGTTAATTGATAGTATTTTAGCACTATAATAACTATATTCCCAGTATAGACTAGACTATAGACTAGTATATAGACTAGACTATAGACTAGTATATAGACTATATAGAATAGACTATAGACTAGACTATAGACTAGACTATAGACTAGACTATAGACTAGACTATAGACTAGACTATAGACTAGACTAGACTATAGACCAGACTATAGACTAGTATATAGACTATATAGAATAGACTATAGACTAGACTATAGACTAGACTATAGACTAGACTAGACTAGGACTAGATAGACTAGACTAGACTAGACTAGACTAGACTAGACTAGACTATCGACTAGACTATAGAACTAGACTATAGACTAGACTATAGACTAGACTATAGACTAGACTATAGACTAGACTATAGACTAGACTATAGACTAGACTATAGACTAGACTATAGACTAGACTATAGACTAGACTATAGACTAGACTATAGACTAGACTATAGACTAGACTATAGACTAGACTATAGACTAGACTATAGACTAGACTATAGACTAGACTATAGACTAGACTATAGACTAGACTATAGACTAGACTATAGACTAGACTATAGACTAGACTATAGACTATACTATAGACTAGACTATAGACTAGACTATAGACTAGACTATAGACTAGACTATGACTAGACTATAGACAGACTATAGACTAGACTATCGACTAGACTATAGACTAGACTAGACTATAGACTAGACTATAGACTAGACTATACTAGACTATAGACTATCGACTATAGACTTAGACTATAGACTAGACTATAGACTAGACTATAGACTAGACTATAGGACTAGACTATAGACTAGACTATAGACTAGACTATAGACTAGACTATAGACTAGACTATAGACTAGACTATAGACTAGACTATAGCTAGACTATAGACTAGGACTATAGACTAGACTATAGACTAGACTATAGCCTAGACTATAGACTAGACTATAGGACTAGACTATAGACTAGACTATAGACTAGACTATAGACTAGACTATAGACTAGACTATAGACTAGACTATAGACTAGACTACTAGACTAGACTATAGACTAGACTAAGACTAGACTATAGACTAGACTATAGGACTAGACTATAGACTAGACTATAGACTAGACTATAGACTAGACTATAGACTAGACTATAGACTAGACTATAGACTAGACTATAGACAGACTATAGACTAGACTATAGACTAGACTATAGACTAGACTATAGACTAGACTATAGGCTAGACTATAGGCTAGACTATAGACTAGACTATAGACTAGACTATAGACTAGACTATAGACTAGACTATAGACTAGACTATAGACTAGACTATAGACTAGACTATAGACTAGACTATAGACTAGACTATAGACTAGACTATAGACTAGACTATAGACTAGACTATAGACTAGACTATAGACTAGACTATAGACTAGACTATAGACTAGACTATAGACTAGACTATAGACTAGACTATAGACTAGACTATAGACTAGACTATAGACTAGACTATAGACTAGACTATAGACTAGACTATAGACTAGACTATAGACTAGACTATAGACTAGACTATAGACTAGACTATAGACTAGACTATAGACTAGACTATAGACTAGACTATAGACTAGACTATAGACTAGACTATAGACTAGACTATACTAGACTATAGACTAGACTATAGACTAGACTATAGACTAGACTATAGACTAGACTATAGACTAGACTATAGACTAGACTATAGACTAGACTATAGACTAGACTATAGACTAGACTATAGACTAGACTATAGACTAGACTATAGACTAGACTATAGACTAGACTATAGACTAGACTATAGACTAGACTATAGACTAGACTATAGACTAGACTATAGACTAGACTATAGACTAGACTATAGGAAAAACTAGACTATAGACTAGACCTATAGACTAGACTATAGACTAGACTATAGACTAGACTATAGGACTAGACTATAGACTAGACATATGACTAGACTATAGACTAGACTATAGACTAGACTATAGACTAGACTATAGACTAGACCTATAGACTAGACTATAGACTAGACTATAGACTAGACATAAATAGACTATAGACTAGACGATAGACTAGACTATAGACTAGACTATAGACTAGACTATAGACTAGACTATAGACTAGACTATATACTAGACTATAGACTAGACTATAGACTAGACTATAGACTAGACTATAGACTAGACTATAGACTAGACTATAGACTAGACTATAGACTAGACTATAGACTGACTATAGACTAGACTATAGACTAGACTATAGACTAGACTATAGACTAGACTATAGACTAGACTATAGACTAGACTATAGACTAGACTATAGACTAGACTATAGACTAGACTATAGACTAGACTATAGACTAGACTATAGACTAGACTATAGACTAGACTATAGACTAGACTATAGACTAGACTATAGACTAGACTATAGACTAGACTATAGACTAGACTATAGACTAGACTATAGACTAGACTATAGACTAGACTATAGACTAGACTATAGACTAGACTATAGACTAGACTATAGACTAGACTATAGACTAGACTATAGACTAGACTATAGACTAGACTATAGACTAGACTAAGACTAGACTATAGACTAGACTATAGACTAGACTATAGACTAGACTATAGACTAGACTATAGACTAGACTATAGACTAGACTATAGACTAGACTATAACTGACTATAGACTAGACTATAGACTAGACTATAGACATAGGACTAGACTAACATAGACTAGACTATAGACTAGACTATAGACTAGGAAAAGTTGTAATGTTTGAATTCTCCGATTTAATATAGTCGGATTGGACCCAAATACGTTTTTAAATCAAATATCTTTTATGTAATAACGTTGGCGTAGACATTCATTAACAAACTTGAAAATATTTCAGCAAAAATAACTGCTTCATTGTTTAAAAACGTATAATCAAGTCGAGTTTTTATTTCTAAGAAGTTATTTAAAAAATGTAGTAACAAATTTTCTCTAAACTGCGTAATTTAAATTAAAAATTAATACTGCATAACTTCAAAACCACCAATGCGTATTAAGTCGTCAATCAAACTTGAAATTTGAATACAATTTGCGTTTTTTTCCATTTCAATTTATTGCGCAATCTGTGTTATCATAACTATATGATGACATTTTACACACCTTTTAACATCATATTTTCTACAAATATTTCAAAAATTCTTTAAAATTTACAAAATTTTGCTGAAATTTCAAAAATTATACAAAAACATTTCTTAATGCAGACAGTGGATAATGCGTATTTATTTACAAAACTTTAATAACAGTTTAAATTTATATTGAAAATGTAAACAAATATTGTCTAAAACTTCAACATTCAGTTTCTTGGAAAACGTGACTTTATTTGTTGCATTTTTAATTCATAAACGAAAGTTTCAAATTTCTTTTGACTTTTATTTTTTGCTTTTGCTCATATTTTGTCTGTAACTTTGTATTTTACTCACTTGTCCCTGAAAAAAATTGTTGAACTTTTGGTTTTTTTTATAAATTTGTAGACTGTTTTTTACGTTGCTAATTTGTGGGAAACTATTTGGTATCTGGTTACTATTTAATAGGTCTGGTTTTAGTTTAAAGCTCTCATATTTCGGAAAAAAAACTTAGTTTTAATAAAAGATCATATTTTGGGAAAAATTCCCACAGATTATCTCAGTTTTGAAATTTAAAAATATGAAAAATATGTGAAAAATGTTTTTAGATTTTATATACATTTGATATTAAAGGTTTAAGGTTCCATAGTGGACCAATTGATAGTGTTAAGTATATTAACTCTAACATAAAGGTTAAATATCGAAATGGTAAGAAATCATCAGGAAATAAAGTTTCTCAAAGTAATCAACTAATGCAGTGTCAAATTTACTAAAATAAAAAATGTTGTCAATTAATTATTTTATTTAACGAATGTTTATATTTTTTTAAGTTAAAGCTCTAGAGCATGTCTTTATTTAGCTTACAAATTACATTTTATATATTTGTTTTTTGTTTTTTATTAATACTTTTGTTTTGCTATTAAAAATAAAAAAAAACTCAGCTTTGGCTGTTAAGCGCTTAAATCAATGTTGTGTTTTAATGTCTTGTTAAAATGAAAACTAAAAAAGGCTTTTCATATTATTTTGTTTTGCTTTGTGTTTTATTCTTTATAGCATTTAATTAATAATTTGTTTTTAAATTATTTTACAGATATTGCAATCCCATGGAATTATACAGACCGGACACGTCTATGCCTTCATTTGCAACGCACGAAGTGCCAAGGTAAGTTGAAATAATTATCAATGTGTTTCCGTTTATTTAAACCCAAATGTAGAAACGGCTCTAAGTATGAATTTTATTTGCAGCCTTAAAGTAGGCAATAGATTTCTACAAATTATTTTTTTCGTATAACAGTAGACAGTGGGATGTTTATCAAAAATATTTATAATGAATCAAATCACAATGCCGACATGAGAAAGAAGGTCATGACTATTGATTATAGGCAAGTCTGAAAAGACTATTAACTAGTCCATAGTCCGGACTCTAGCCTGGTCTATAGTCTTGACTATAAATTTAAATATAATCTAGTCTATACAGTCGACATATAGTCCTAACTATAGTTAAGCCAATAGTCTTGGCTATAGACTAGACTGTCGTCTTGACTATAAAACTGAACTAAAATGAACTGAACTAAACTAGAACTGAACTAGAACTGAACTAGAACTGAACTAGAACTGAACTAGAATAGATGAACTAGAACTGAACTAGAACTAACTAGAACTGAACTAGAACTGAACTAGAACTGAACTAGAACTGAACTAGAACTGAACTAGAACTGAACTAGAACTGAACTAGAACTGAACTAGAACTGAACTAGAACTGAACTAGAACTGAACTAGAACTGAACTAGAACTGAACTAGAACTGAACTAGAACTGAACTAGAACTGAACTAGAACTGAACTAGAACTGAACTAGAACTGAACTAGAACTGAACTAGAACTGAACTAGAACTGAACTAGAACTGAACTAGAACTGAACTAGAACTGAACTAGAACTGAACTAGAACTGAACTAGAACTGAACTAGAACTGAACTAGAACTGAACTAGAACTGAACTAGAACTGAACTAGAACTGAACTAGAACTGAACTAGAACTGAACTAGAACTGAACTAGAACTGAACTAGAACTGAACTAGAACTGAACTAGAACTGAACTAGAACTGAACTAGAACTGAACTAGAACTGAACTAGAACTGAACTAGAACTGAACTAGAACTGAACTAGAACTGAACTAGAACTGAACTAGAACTGAACTAGAACTGAACTAGAACTGAACTAGAACTGAACTAGAACTGAACTAGAACTGAACTAGAACTGAACTAGAACTGAACTAGAACTGAACTAGAACTGAACTAGAACTGAACTAGAACTGAACTAGAACTGAACTAGAACTGAACTAGAACTGAACTAGAACTGAACTAGAACTGAACTAGAACTGAACTAGAACTGAACTAGAACTGAACTAGAACTGAACTAGAACTGAACTAGAACTGAACTAGAACTGAACTAGAACTGAACTAGAACTGAACTAGAACTGAACTAGAACTGAACTAGAACTGAACTAGAACTGAACTAGAACTGAACTAGAACTGAACTAGAACTGAACTAGAACTGAACTGAACTAAACTGAACTAGAACTAGAACTGAACTAGAACTGAACTAGAACTGAACTAGAACTGAACTAGAACTGAACTAGAACTGAACTAGAACTGAACTAGAACTGAACTAACTAGAACTGAACTAGAACTGAACTAGAACTGAACTAGAACTGAACTAGAACTGAACTAGAACTGAACTAGAACTGAACTAGAACTGAACTAGAACTGAACTAGAACTGAACTAGAACTGAACTAGAACTGAACTAGAACTGAACTAGAACTGAACTAGAACTGAACTAGAACTGAACTAGAACTGAACTAGAACTGAACTAGAACTGAACTAGAACTGAACTAGAACTGAACTAGAACTGAACTAGAACTGAACTAGAACTGAACTAGAACTGAACTAGAACTGAACTAGAACTGAACTAGAACTGAACTAGAACTGAACTACTAGAACTGAACTAGAACTGAACTAGAACTGAACTAGAACTGAACTAGAACTGAACTAGAACTGAACTAGAACTGAACTAGAAACTGAACTAAACTAGAACTGAACTAGAACTGAACTAGAACTGAACTAGAACTGAACTAGAACTGAACTAGAACTGAACTAGAACTGAACTAGAACTGAACTAGAACTGAACTAGAACTGAACTAGAACTGAACTAGAACTGAACTAGAACTGAACTAGAACTGAACTAGAACTGAACTAGAACTGAACTAGAACTGAACTAGAACTGAACTAGAACTGAACTAGAACTGAACTAGAACTGAACTAGAACTGAACTAGAACTGAACTAGAACTGAACTAGAACTGAACTGAGAACTAGAACTGAACTAGAACTGAACTAGAACTGAACTAGAACTGAACTTTTTTTTTTTTTTTTTTTTTTTCATATATATTCACTTTATTCAATTTAAGTATTTAAAGGTACAATATATTCTTAATACTAAGCCCGCTAAGCCATATGGCTTGACAGCAGGAAACATATATATAAACAATTTAAGTTTAAGATTAACATTATTTTATTTATTTCATTGCGATCTGATAAAAAAGGCCTTTATAAGTTTCTTTCTTTGAAATTTGTTTCTTGTATTTATAGTTCCAATTGGGATTTTGTTCAGAATATTTGGTAAAGTGACTCCTAGGGTGTTTCTTCCATACTCATTAAAGAAGCGTTTCACTTTATATCTTCCTTGCGCTCGTCTTCTCGTGTTATATCTGTGGTCTATTTCTTGTAGAAATCGGTGATCGTTAAAGAAGTCGTTCGCCAGGGTTGTACAGTATAAACTATGTACGTTAAGTATATTTAATTTCGTGGCTAGATCACAGGTGTTGGAGTTGTATACAGCTGTATTGTAGTTTGTTGGGTGATTGGTATATTGACTGCTGTTTGTTAAACTATCATTGGGGTTGTATGTTGTTGTGTTGTTATTTGTTGGGTGATTGGTATATTGATTGCTGCTTGTATGACATTCGTTTGAGTTGTGTATTGTTGTGTTATTGTGATTGGTATATTGGTCGTTGTTTGTAGAGTTTTTGTTGAGGTTGTATATTGTTGTGTTGTTGTTTGTTGGGTTATTAGTATATTGATTGTTGCTTGTAGGATTTTCATAAGAGTTGTATATTATTGTGTTGTTGTTTGTTGGGTGGTTGGTATATTGATAGTTTCTTGTAGGGTTTTCGTTGGAGTTGTATATTGTTGTGTTGTCGTTTGTTGGGTGATAGGTATTTTGATTGTTGCTTGTAGGATTTTCGTTAAAGTTGTATATTGTTGAGTTGTTTGTTGGGTGAATGGTGTATTGATAATTTCCTGTAGAGGTTTCGTTGGAGTTGTATGTTGTTGTGTATTGTTTGTTGGGTGATTGGTATATTGATTATTGCCTGTAGGATTTTCGCGAGAGTTGTACATTGTTGTGTTGTTGGTGGTTGGGTAATTGGTATACTGATTGTAGTTTGTAGAATTTTCTATGGAGTTATATATTGTTGTGTTGTTGTTTGTTGGGTGATTGTTATATTGATAGTTTCTTGTAGGGTTTTCGTTGTAGTTGTATAGTATTGTGTGTGTTTGTTAGATGATTGTTGTTTGGTAATGTGTTGTTATGAAGTGTTGGGTTTCTGTTTGTTGAAATTTGTAACAATGTATTGTGGGTAAGTAGGTTGCTGTTTACAATGTGAAATGTGTTGTTTCTATTAGTAAATGAGCTGTTTGTTGATCTGGTTGTGTATATGTTATTGTTTGTTGATACGTTTGTTATATTTTGGGATAATGAATAGTTAAAGCTAAGTGACGTGTTTGTGGTTGTGTGTGTGTTTGTGGAGTATTGATAATTCTTCCAGAGTGTTTTAAGTATCTGGTTTTGGGTTTTTTGTAGAGTTTTGCAGTATGTGGCACTACCCCATGCAGTAATACCATGTCTTAAATATGACTCTGCAAGAGAAAAATATGCTTGTCTAAGTACACTATACGTTGCACAGTTACTTAGGTGTACAGGGTATAGGCAGATTTACGAAGTTTTTTGCGTACATTTTCAACGTGTGTCTTCCATTTGAAATTATTATCGACATAGACACCTAAATATTTGTATGTCTGCACTACTTCTATATTTGTCGTACATTCTTCATTAGTATTATTTGGGTTTATTGTTTTTTGATGGAGGCAGTTATTGTGGTGGAATTTTAATTCTATAGAAGATTCAATGAGATGGCGGGGCTTTATATGCATAAGTTTCGTCTTCGCAGCATTTATGATTAGGCCATTGTCGTGGCACCATTTTGTTGCAATATTTAATTGTTTTTGCATTTTTTCTGTGGCCTCTTTTAAGTTGTTATTTGCAACAACGATTGCAGTGTCATCTGCGTAGGCAAATGTTTTGGTTTCTATAGCTTTGAGCATTTCATTTGCATATATAATATACAAAATTGGTCCTAATTTTGACCCCTGAGGTACTCCATATTTTGTATGCGTTTCATCGCTTAATGTGTTATTAATTTTAACACGATAATGATCTCAAGCTAAGATAATTTTTAAACCAATTGAGTGTATTTCCTCTAATTCCATTTTTTTCCATTATTTCTATTAGCTTTTCGTGCGATAGCGTGTCAAACGCTTTGCTGAAATCAATGAACAATACTAAACAATGTTGGTTATTGCTTAGACATGTGTTAAGATAATTTGCAAAATTTCCTAGTAATTTGTTGATACTTTTTTCTTTTTGGAAACCATATTGGTTATTGTTTATAATATTATATCTATTTAAGAATTGTGTTATTCTTCTTACAATGATTTCCTCCAGTATTTTTTCAATTATTGGGAAGAATGGCAATCGGCCTATAATTGTTACATACAGATTTACAGCCACTTTTATGAAATTGGTCTGATTATTGAAGTTTTTAGTAAGTCTGGTACAATGGCATTTTCTATACTAGAGTTTATTAGCTTAGTTAAAGGTAATGTAAATAAAGAAGGCATTATTTTTTAGATCTTTGGGTCGAATTTGATCTATTCCAGCTCCTTTATTTACACATAACGTTTTTAATATGTTGTATATTTCATTTTCCGTGGTTTGTGAGAGATAAATTGAATTTTGTTGAGTATTTGTTATAATATTCAGTGTTTT